GCTTGTATGATTCCGAAACGTCAGGACGATAAACCTTTGGTTCCCGTGATCGGCTTACCTTCTCATACATATATATATATATATATATATATATATATATATATTACAGTCTGCCTTGTTTTTGCTGTCAATGCTAACAGCAGTCATCCTGATGGCTGCGTAGTTGAACTCATGACCGATCTAGTCTGACAGCAAATGGAATAGTCACAGGTGCGACTCGATCTGTCTGACAAGTCATCTGCCGTCATCTACTATGAAGCTGCGCTATGGGGAGCTCGAAGCAAAAGCTAAATGGAAATATCTACAGTAATGGTTCGGATAATAGTATAGATGGTATCCGCCTTTGCGCATGTCACTTACACAGGACAGCTAAATTGGGCTTTTTGTTAACTATGCCAAAGCAGAAGTAGGTGCGTTGTGAATTCGTGAATATAGGCCATGAACGATACACCTTGGGGTCTAAACAAACACTATAACGATTTGAACTTTTGCAATTATACGGTCACATGTGTGTAACACGGGGAAATAAAAATTGACCATTTTGTCCCGAAAGGGTTGACCCAATTAACTGAAATCAACCTTACACAGGTGTCTGGGGGGCGTGAACCAGAGTTTGCCGTAGTCAGTTTTTCTTAACAAATCCAACATACCTACTTCCAATGTGAGTTTGGTTGAAATAGCACTTTTTTTACATATTTGTCCAGTTAAATTTGGGTACAATCCGGAGGATTGCGAGCTTACAATTGATCACGAGCGAAGCAGAAACCACGACGAAAATGCTCCATCGCAGGACCAGCAAGCTTTTCCTAACCGAACCCGAATTACTTTATCTGAAGCGGGAAAATGCATCATTTCTAGTAAAAAAAAAATAGCTAACAGGAAACGTGCTAGCAACATTGGTGCTATCCACACTCAAGCCATTGTAAGAAGCCAAGAGCGAGAGAAAGATGGGGGAGGCAGCATAATAATTCAGAGGGATTTGAAGAGACCAGCCGATAAAGCATCAGGATTGAGAAATGAACTGGAAAATAACAAAATGTCGGTCGGTTCTACGGGGATTATTTTTGTGTGTTGAACCTTACGCAACGAATCCGGAATCAGTGAGCAAAAAAGCAAAATTCGGTGCACTTATTTGCAGTCAACACCAGTCGGTCATAAATTCAACAACGCTAGACTTCAGCAGGACTGTTTAGTTTCTAAGTAAAACGAAGTCCGACAAAAAAATTATTAATCCTAGTGCCAGGCCTTTGATCAACTAGAAATGACGCTGCCAGACGACCTTACGGAAATCAACTGCTTCACGCAACACCCAATTAGGAAGATATTTTACATATTTTCAGCAGTCTTCCTGAGGATATACAGTAACTTATCGATGTCGTGAAATATCAGTCGAAATTCTGGAAGTTACTTTCGATTCAAACCTATTAGTTAAGTTAGTTAGTTAAGTTAGTTGATTAGCATGTGACTTAATCTTAATAGAGTTCAGTCACCCGACCTGACCTCAGGATGCCGGGTGTCGCACGAGCTAATTAAGTAGTGTGCCTTTTTTCACTGATTTTCACTGCCCCAATAAATTTAAATATAGGTTATAGAAAAAATACCCAAAATATTTTTGCTTGTACCCATTTGGTAGCAAATTACGCTTTCTTCAAATTGTATACTTGAAGAAAAAGGATATTTATTTTCGGTTTTAAAGAAGTTTCTAAATTTCCGTATAATTCTAAACCCTACCGACCGTTAAGCCTGAACTCAAGGCGTCCAAAATAAATGCTGTATACATTCTGTCTTACAATAAGTAAATATTTCCCTACATTGTGAGGGAGAAATCATACAGTTCTCATAAAATTATGCAATGGATATGAACCAAGTTGTATAATTTACAAGTAGCACAAAAAATGGACAAACATGTTACTTTGTGAATACACATTTCATGGTCGTAAAAATCCCCATAATTACAATTTTTTAAAGGAAAGATAGCCCTTCTTTAAGTTTAAGCATTGAAGACACAATTTTCTACCAAACTAGTTTAAGAAATAATATTTTTGTGCATTTTTCTATAATGTATATTTTAATTTATGAGGGCAATGAAAATCAATGAGAAAAAAGCATACTACTAAAATAGCCATCTTCTCTTGCTGGTGGTCAAAAGGAAGCACGTTCAAATGCCGACATTCTGAGGTGACTGACATATATTGAGAGTAAGTCGCATGCTAATCGATATTGCAACCATACTTATTTAATATGTTCGAACCGAGAGCATATTTCAGAATTTCGACTGACATTTCATGAGATAAACAATTTAGTGTAGATTCTCCGACTGCCGAAAATATGTACAACACCTCCCTTATAGGGTGTCCGTGACGGTTAAGGCAAGCAGATACTAACAGTGTCCTTTTCTATTTGCTTTTACTCAAGTGACTTGACATAACCTAGAAGAGGAAAGCCGTCATATGCAAATTTCACGAAACATCCCCTGGAAGATGAACAAGTACTAGTGGCAGAAAGCGCTTAGACGAAGCAACCGAAAGTAACAGTTTAAAAACGTACCGTCGAGGAGAAGAAGCT